TGTCCACTACTACTTAACAACAGTCAGAAAAAGCAGAATTTTCTTAGTATTTTCGCTTTAGTAACATAATTTATCAAGGAAATTCGAATACTTTTTCTTACCAAAATGATCAGCACAATAAACTCGATAAAGTTCTATAGACAAAAAATCTCTAAGAATATTGTACTTTTTGCGATTGACTACCCATGAAAGTGTTCATAAAAAACATGATTCGAAAGCATTTTGCTGTTGGTAGTATGGTAGAAATAACTGGATATTATCAGAAATTATTGTAACGTCTTGAGAATACGAATCATGAATAGAAGTGTTTGACAATTATTAAAATCATCAAAAATCAATGGAAGTCACTCTAAATCATAGAAAGTCTCTAATAATAAGATTAAACGTAATTCTTCATTTCTAATTGATTCTTCAGGAACAGATTAAGTCCAATACCCACCGACAGAAATTAGAGGAATCATTTGAAATCAAGACATTAGTTTGTTTCCACTTGTTTATCCATAGATGTAACGAAAAAAAACATATCGAAGTGTCAAGTCGCTTTTGAATCAGGACTATGTGTATCACATTGATCTTGATGAGTTATGAATATACTATAACAAACTCGGGCTATTGGTTTATTGATGTCGAGGTATTGGATTTTAAGGTATTTTTCAGTAGAATGCCATAGTCCCTATTGAGAACATCAAGAACCCTGAGTTTCGATTAGCTACTTGAAACTTTACACAGAGAAAAATCTTAATGAGAATAGTTTATTGCGAAAGTTTCAGATTTTTTTTGTATTTTGAAATAAGAACATCGAGATTTATCGATGTATATAGACGCAATTAGATACGTGCTTTTATCATAGTTGTATCTTACAATAGGAAAAACAAGCACAATAAAATATTCTGGTTACGATATTTCTTTGTACAAAGTTTCAAGCCGAAGCTTGAAACTCAGTTTTCCTGATAGAGACTATGGCATTCCACTAAAATACGCTGTGAAAGTACAATATCTCATTAGCTATAAACCAATAGCTTCAACGTTTTTCAGTGTATTCATTGTTCATTAGGATCTACATGATGTACATAGTCTTGCTTTAAAAGCTATTTGACATTTGGGTACCTTTTTCTTTCATCATATTAGAAATTGATGAACAATTTGAAAGATGGCATTGTGTAACTAACTTACATCATACGTTGCTAAGTAATCTTTAATTTTGATGATTCAAGAAAAACAAACGAGAAAGATTATCACGTTTGCTTATTCTTATTTAGAAATTAAAAGTAATATACATTATAAATCGATTATTTCTTTGTTTTTTTTTTCTCTGATTAAAATAAGCAAAAGATATAAAAAAAAAGAAAAAAAACGAGTTCATTTAATCCGCAATATATATAACTTGATGTTTTGCAAGTAAATCAATATCTTTTTCAAGTAGTTGCATTTGATGTTCAAGACGTTCTTTATGTTGTCGTTTAGGAATTGTATCAATAATAACCGAAAGTGTTTGATATTCATGATGAACATCTTCCCATTGTTTTTTCAAACCTATTGTTTTTTTGTTTGAAAAAAAAAAGAGAATAATTTATAAAGAATAAAAAAACATACCATCAATGATTGTTTCTCGTTCATTATCATCCATTTCACGCATTGCTCCACGACGAAAATAATCTGAAACATAAGCTTGATATTCTTGTTTAGCTTTTTCCATTTCATCTCGTCGAGATTTTATATAAACTGGTACTTCACCAAAATTCTAAAGTATAAAACAAAACTTAAACATGAAAATTAATAATAATTCAAAATAAATACTTTTTTAAAGACATATTTTGGTGCTAAACCACTTTGATCAACTGGAAATTTATCTCCGAATCGATCATCAACAACATTTCTTTCCGGTTTTTTTGGTACTGTCATAACAACATCAAGAGCATTTGTTTGAATAAAATTTTTTTCTGTTCTTGCACCCATTTTAGGTGCATCACGAATACTTGGAACAGGTGGTTTACGTTGAGAACGATCTTTATTTGTTGTTGTATCTTTTCCTAATACATTTTGAGATGATTAGAAGAAAAAAAACAAAAAAAAAAAGAAGGTTACCAGCAGGATTAGTAACTGTTTTGCTTTCATTTTGTTTTTTCTTAAGAAATTGTTGTGGATCGGGTAATGGTTCTTCTGCATAACCCATTGTTCGATGTTCATGTTTACCTTCTTTGAATGTTTCACGAACATTGGATTTAAATTTTGACTCGTAACTAATGAAAAAAATTAATAAAATTGAATAGATAATAGAATAAACAAATATTCTACCGAGGTGGTTTTGGTGCTTGAACTTGTACGCGTGGTATTAAATTGTATACAGATTCTTCTTGTTGATGTGCACCATTCTGTCCAACAACCATTTTTGTTAAATTTCTATTAGAAAAACAATACGAATGAACAATGTTATGAGAAACAAATTATTAACCATAATAAAACACATTGATTTACATTTGTTTCTTAGCAACAGAAATATTGAAATGAAGTATATGTAAACGAATAATATACTGAAATGAAAGAATATATTCTTCAATCAATTATTTGATTTAAATATAAATATACAAAAAGATAAAAGAAAAGTTAAATAATGGTTTGATGAGGCCGCTAGTTTACAGTTGTTTTTTTTTAAGACGATAACTATAATAAAATGCTTACACTAGTGGCGAATTTGATTTTTATTTTATTGGTAAACTATTAACTAAACACTTACCAATTTAAGAGTTCTCTCGTAGAAATCTATTTTTTCATATAGACGATAGAATTAAGATGTAACATTTTATTTATATTGGATTCGACGCTCATAAAACTTTTTTTTGTTTCTAACACTTATTATTCAAGAATTTTTCAAAGACTAAAGTTTCAAATGAGATATTTTTTACATGGGAGTCTTTTGTGCAAATATACATCAAGCTAAAGATGTTTTCCATGAAAGAAAACTCTATTCTATTTCAAATGAGAGAAAGAGCTTCATTATCTTATCTCTCTGATGTAGATATTATATTTTAGTTTACCCTTCAGTATGAAATCTGTCAAGATATTGATATTTGTAATACGTATGAAGTCGTCCAGTAGAATTAATGATTTTAAACTAGCTCATAGCATTATAAGAACATTGAAGTATATCTCTAGGTTAGTATGTCTTTGATTAAATGAGATATCAAAGAAGAGAATGCATGTTTCTTCTTTCATTACATCATCTGTCAAACTTGTAGTTCAACTGAAGCATTATATATGGTTCCATTGAATGTAATCTCGTTCTCGCGCTCCCTTCCAAAAAAAGAAAGCCACGATCATCATTTTTCTCATGATAATCTTTCCATTTGATGACTGTGGATTTCAATACTTTCATTTATTGGATTATAATTTTTTTTTTTGAAAAAAATGATACAAAACATCTACTGAAGTTGATTGATATGACCTTTTATAATACTTCTAAAATTATTAATTTCTTTTAATGTTTCAATGAAAATAATCTTTAGAACATCAGCGATCTTTCCAAAAAAAAATTATATAGATTTAAAAAACTTGATCCAAGATAAAAAGCAGATATTGTCTATGTGGTATGACATTCATAACTATCATACTTATTTTTATCATGAATAATTAAAAGAAAAATTATCAATGAGCATGATTATTATGTTAATTATCTGAAACATGAAAAAACTGCACTCGTCTGCACTAACAATTTTCATATTAGATTTGCAAAAAAAAAATATGGTTGTTCCAATATCCATATCATCGACGTTTGATTCAAACCATGGATGCAAGATTTTAATGATTTTTCTACCAATATAATTTTAACTATATCGATGTCAACTAAAAGAAAGTCGATTTTATATATCATTGTAGAATATGCTAGATAATACTGCAGTTTCTGATTTTAGTGCATGCTATTAAATAAGGATTGTTTTTGTGATGCGATCCTTAACAAAAAAAGAAAAATGCAAGAACTAAACACAATTAGTGAACATGGCTGACAGTTTTCACTTAAAACTGACATTGTTTAAACGATTAAAACATACATGCAGTGAGATACACAAAAAGAGTTTAACGAGAAGAAATGTAGCTAATCTTCCAACTAACCGAATACTATTCAAACAGTTATCATGAAATGAGTAATTATTATCCTAAGCATCTATTCAGTGATTGGCGTCTATTAGATTTTTCATCTTTCAAAAGAAAAACTTTTTTCATTCAATAAAAGCCAGAATAAATACACAGAAATCTAAAAAATTTCATGCTCGTTCTTTGTAACTTATTAAAAGTAAAAGTTAATTGAGAGGGGAATAGAAGATTTCTGATGGTATTTTTTGAGAAAAACCAACGTTACAACCCTGAATTTTTTCCATTTTCAATTGATTTCATAAATTTCCTTACCATTACTTTCTACTTCAATACACTTCATTGCATCAAGATAATTTTTTATGCTTTAATAATTCTTAATCTCGTCATTTATTTAACAAACATTATTTTTTTTTCTCCTTTTTATGACACTTTGCTTTTTCTTTTGTGATTCCTTTTTTCTTTTTTTGGTGATTTTAAATGAAGACTATATAAAAAGAAAAGAAATAACAACTTATTTTTTTATTATTATTTTTTTCCAATATAATTTTAATCTTGCAAAACGAAACAAAATACACGCACACGCACACAGAAAATGATAATAATGGACGGTTGAAACTGTTTAAAATCACAGTGATAAATACAAGAAAAAAAGAAAAAAAAAAAAAGAGATAAGAATATTCAAACTAATTATAATATTATTTTGTGGATGGAATAATTGCAAATGGTGTGTGTCACACAGATAATTTTCAAAGAGAAATGCTTCAAACATGCACAAATAAAAAACATCAAGGAAATAATACTGGACGGAAGAAAAAAAAGCAAAGAAAAAACAAACATTCCACAGACAAGAAGTAAAAAGGAAGACCCTACACAAACATTTATATACAATAAACAAACCTTTTCTTTTGTGATTATTTAGATAATTTTAAATCAAATGCTGTTTCAAGTGACGGTAACTTTGTTGGAGTTACACTTTCATTTGAAAGCCACCATGATGGTCGTTTTATTCCACGACCTTTTATAGTAAGAGATTGTTGCTGTTGTTGTTGTACATCATCGTCAAACAACGAATTGAATGTTGACTGTTTAGTTGGATAATCAAAACCATCAAATGCACTTGAATCTCCACCGGCTGCTGCTGCTTCAGCTGAATACGTTAAGTCTGTTAATGCTGCATTAAAATCATTAAATAAATCTTGTTCAGTTTTTGTTGATAAAAGTGGTTGAACATCAATATCATTTGGTGTTTCACATAAATAAGCATCCCAATCAAATGTAACTGAATCTAATAAAAGCATATCTGTATCATCTAATTTTGTTGAAATAATATTTTGTTTTGCTATAGCTGATGACATTGATGATGGTGAATTTGATGGTGATGGAGTTGAAACAGATGAAAAATCACTTATTTGTTGTTGTTGTTGTTGTTGTTGATGATGATGATAAAATGGTGGAACTGCTAATGAATCTGGTGATGATATTGGAGAAAGAAAACTACTTGGCATTCGTATATATGATGATGGACGATCAATATTTGTTGTATGACATTGAAGAGGTAACTGATTTTTTGATGAAATACATGGAAGAATTGAATCAATCCATGATTCAGTTTTAGTACCATTATTTAATTGTGTTGTATTATCAGAAATATTTGTTGATCGTTTTGATGTACGTGTACGTTTATTTTGTGGTGGATTTATTTGTCGATCTTGTTGATTATTTATTGAAATTTTATTTTGTGAATGTTGTCGTTCATAATCTGATGATAATTTCCAAAATCCACCTTTACCTCCGGCTTCTTTTTTTGTACGTGGAACTTTAACAAAATATTTGTTCAACGATAAATTATGACGAATGGAGTTCTACAAAAAATTTTCAGATAATCATATAATATAAATAATTAAATATTTCTTTATGTTCTTTTTTAATCAGATAGGAAAGAAAAAAATTTATAAGGAAGTTAGACAAGGTCAAAGGAAACGAATACTGTTCTTATTTCCTGTAGGGTGAATATTAATCATTTCCGCATTTTCTTTTCTTTTTTTTTTCATTTTACTAACATTTTTCATTAAATAAAATAACTGAAGTGTTTTTTTGTCATGTTTTTTTTTATAATATTTCGAAAAAATAAAATTTTTTCATCTATATTATAAGTATTTAATAATTCATGAATATAATTTAAAAATACCTGCCAAGTTGGTTCCATTTTTTTAAAATAAGGAAAATTATCTGCAACCCACTCATAAATCATTTGTAATGTCATTTTTTCATGACCTGATTGTCGCATAGCCAAAAAAATAAGTTGAGAATATGAATAAACCGGTTTTGCTTGAGGATTTGTTTTATAGATTTTCCAATGTTCATCATCATCATCATCATTATTTAATATTAACTCATTGTTATCATCAATATCATTAGGATAAACAGCACCAATATTTGATGAAGATAAAGATATAGAAGTGTTAGATAATGTTTGTTCTTTACGTTTGTTACTAATTGCATTATTTCCTGAACTATTTGATGATGATGATGAACAAGTTGATGATAAATTTATTGTTGGAATAGTTCGTTTTAATATATTTATATCATGTAACCATGAAAGATTTGTTAAACTATCATCAAAAATATTGAATGTTGTAGTTGATATACGTGATGGTGTATTTGTATTATGTGCTGTTAAAACATTTGTTGTTTCAATTGTTTTATTCATTGAACTATTTGATGGTACCAACGTATAAACATTTCGTTGGATTGGATACTGTGTCATCGACGATGTACAATTTTGTCTACAATGAAAGGTTTTTTTCTTTTTTCAATTAGTTAATCACTCAAGAAAAAAAAAAAGAAAGAGAAGAAAACTTATTTTTCCTTAGTTTTAATAGGACGGAAAAATATTTTGTAAATATCGTTACATAGCTATACTTGCATTCGCCTGCTGTTTTTCAAGAGTTAAATTGCTTTTTCAATTTTATTAGATTCTTTCTTTTGTTCAAGGATGAATACGTTTCTGTCTTCATGTCATAATATGTTTTTTTTTTCTTTTTTTTTTTTTTTTTTTCTTTGTCGATCTCATTTGATGAATGACAGGCAGTACCACTAGCTTGAATTTTACGCATATGTGAATTGAACAAGTTTCTCTTTTTTTTTTTTTTTTTTTCTTCAAGGACAGATTAATGAAGTAATTTGATTCTCACCTCTCTCACATGATGTCAAGTTTCTTTTTTTTTTTCTTGTTGTTGACGAATGAAGTATCATGCAAAATCAAGAAATAGCAACTTACCAAATCATTTAAATAAGTTACTTAACATGAATCAAATCTACAAACGTAATGTCACAAAGCTCTAGCGTATCTTTATTTCTACATAATCATTTGCTGAACAGAGAGCGAGGGAAAAGAAAGTCGTAAGAAAAAAAAAATGACCTTGAGTTTTTCTAAATGCTCACACACACGCATCGAGAAGCAATTATTGCACCCGTTTTTGTCATTCTCGTCGGAAACATTAGCAAGCAATACGAGAGTAAGATGACGAGAATGAAGAAAAAAATAGAACAAAAAAAAAGGTAACAACAGAAAAAAAGCTCACACTATCGGAAATATCTATAAGGCATGATTGCATGAAATCAATTATTTGAGCTAGTTCTAGGTTTAAACAAGCACGTACACACGCTACCTTTTTCTCACGATGGTCAGATGAGCTATCGGCTTTACGTCTTTGTTTCTTCTATTCTTGTTTTTTTACATTAACATAGATGAAGTGAAACGGACACAGAATAATTTTAGATGTATGTATGAGTGAAAGAATCGAAATTCTTTCTGCTTTCTTTCGATGCACACAAAAGGAGAGCGAGAGAGAATACAATTTCAAGCCTTTCTTATTCTTTTTTTTTGTCGAACGTATATGTTCTCTCTCTAACTCGCGTCTGATGAGATCGATGATGGGATGTGTATGAGTATTTGTAAGATGCAACAAACGAAGCATACGGTAAAAAAAAAAAAAAAAAAAAGAAGAACAACATATTCTTAAAAAAATAAAGCCGATATATAAAAGAAATGGAAAGAAAAGGAAAAAAGGCGTTGTTGCCTGCGGTTTTTATATACAATGAAAATGATGATGAAAATCAACGGAAGACTACCTGCTGTTGACATCAACACATCAAAAGAGAATAATACAAAAAAACATAAATCACTGGTTTCACTTATCTTTTGAATCAAAATTGATTATATTCTATCATATTAAGTCTTCAATGGATAAATAAGTGTCATCTATTCTTAGAACTTGTTCTTGTATATTTAATAAACACATTCGCGCATAGTCTTTAAAAAAAGCGAGAGAGAAAAGAAGAAAAAAAAAGTATATGTGATTTTATTCTACATCACACAAGCAAACATTACTTGAGACACAAAACTCTTGTGATGATGATGATGATGACTAACGAAAAAAGAATTATGTATATATTTACATAAAAACGAATTCTCTTTCTCTCTTTCGCACACGCTTCGTATAAATGTTGAACCTACCTGATAATGAACAGTCATCAGCCTTCACAATGATGCAACCTGAGAAAGAATATTACGTGTTCTTTTCTCTTTCTTTTAAACGAATTATTGAGAAAATGAGAAAAAGTGAAATTCTAGGACGCCAACAATAGTAACTTGCACTTGTAATTTTACATCATCTTTTCTTTTTTTCTTTTCGTTGTTTTTTTTTTCGCTTGCCTATTTGCACTTACACATATGAAGAGATTCGACTAGTTGTTCAAATATTCATAATCAACTTTCATTTATTCATCTATGAACCAATGTATGAACAACGACAACTTGTATGTTTACATAAAGAGAATAATAAGAGTACCATCTCATTTGTCTACTCGACACTTGTACGATTTTCTTTAATTATCCATACGAGAGACTGTATCACGCTAAGTAACTTTCTTTATTAATCAATCAAATATAATGTATAAACTACGCAAAAAGAAGACATGATGTGAATTTACTTTTCATACATCTACGGTTATATCCACTTTGTCCTTCTATTTTTATGACTTTTGAAAAAAAGAAAAAGAATCAATATAGTAACATGATATTAGAATTTCATTATCATAAAATCAATAAAAAGTCTTGAAATTATAATGAACAGGTTCAATTTTGATAGATATATAATATTAAATTAATCATGAACATATTATTTCGATAATTAGTTAAAAATTAATACAGAAAGAAAAAATACATTAATTTATTTGGCGCACGCGTTAAATAACAAAGCACTAAAAATAAAAAATAAAAATATTATTCATTGAATTGTTTCATTTTCATTATTTGTTAGTTTAATGAATAAACATTGTACATCATGTTTTCATCGTCATCACATTGACAGTGTTCGTTCGTCTGATTGTTCTCAACAAATTGATGATTCACAACATTTGTTAATCAATAATCAACCAGAGTGTCATCATCATCGAAATAATCACAATAGTAGTTTAATCCAACATGATCAATTGATTAAATCAACAAGTACAGCTGCTTTTCGAAAACGACGTACAGTAATACCTTCTAATCATCATCAACGATTACAATCTTTGTCATTTTCAACTCTTCTTATTTTAATTCGTTTATTGATATTATTTATTATTGGTTTTACACTTTATTATGCTTTTATTTATATTTATCCAAAACCTAAAAGAAACGGATGGGAACGAGTTTGGTATACAATAATTGATTGGCTTTCTGGAGAATAAATATGGAAAATTTTTGGTTTGTTTTGTTTTTCTGCTATGAAAAAAAAAAAAAAAGAAAGATTAATGCGGATATGTTATTTCATTTTAATTTGATAATATCGTGGTAAAATAGAAACTAAGTTGAGTTTTTTGCAATGTTTTCAGATTTTTTGTGCGTCTGGAGAGGCGATTGACAACTTCGAGTGGATGAAATCAACCTTCAGAGGAGCTCCAGGCACTAAGTATCTATATTATGAAAAGCAATGTTTTTTTGGTCGTTATTTTTTTAAAAGTCATATAGAAGTTATGAAATGGAATTTTTTTAAATAAATCATTAAAATTAATTATTTTAACATTGTTTATATTTCAATAGGTTATATAAATCTTGTATTTTAGTAGTTTTTGATGAATGATTTCTATTCGATTATACTTTTTTTTTAATTAAAAAATTTCGTTTTTATATATAAAAAGAAAACAATCAAAGAAAGAAATTATATAAGAAAAAAAAACAACATATTGTAAATCAACTGAAAGTGAATAATTCTATTCATAAGAAAAATTATATTCGTTGAATAATTCAAACTCTGAATTGAATGAAATTTTAACAAAGTTGAATATTAAATCTCGCAATTATACAAGAACAGCATAAGATTTTTGCCAACAATTCTCAACATTTGTGAGTTGATAAAAAAGAGAAAAATCTTCATTTGTTATATATCACAGTATGAGTTGAACAAGAGATAATCGACAAGAAGTTTTAATAACTCTCGTTTTTCACAACTTGACAAATAGAAGTATCTGTCATGACTTGCAATTAAGATCGAAACAATATTTAATACAAAACGGTAGATTACTTTTCTATTTGAACTATGCAAGGCAGCCGTACCTTTTAGGGTAGAATAGGGTTAATGTAAGAAGAAATTTCTTAAATAGGGGTAAAGCCTATAAAACAAAGGTTTTTATCCTACATATTTCTATTCTCTCTTTTTTATTATACAATAAAAGAAAGTAGAACATTATTATCATAAATAATCTTCAGTTTGTTAAGAAAGCATTTATATCCTTGAAATGATTTTGGTACTTTTTTCTTTTCTGATAACGTCTTTATTCATAAAATGAACTATATCATGTAAAACAATGTGATGTGATAAGTATTCATTTAAAACGATATCGTAGAATAATAATAAAAATAAAAAAAAAAGTAGACCAATCATTAAGCCTTTCTTTCTTTCTTTTTTTTTACATCATTATCTTGCAACTTTATATCAAAATCTTCAAATATTATTCTAAATTATCACTACTAAAACAAAACAAAATTATATCAAATATTTGCTTTTTATTTTAATCATTAATCAATATTTACAAAAATTTTGTTTTTGTTTAATTCATTGAATAGTTGATCGAATAAAACGAGCGCGTTATTGATAATTAAATAAATGAATACAATAAGTATTGCTGTGTTAACTATTATACTTGGTGAAATATTTCTTTTTAGCTTTATGATAATAAGTACTCTTATAATTTATTATCATTTTGCTCAACCAAATGAACCAACAATTGATATTGATTCAATAGAAATGAGTGATCAAAATGAAAATATTATTCCATTAAAATCTCAATTAGAACAATTTCAATAAATATAATTTTTAAAAAAAAGTTTCTTTTTTAAGAGACGAAAAAAAAGCCAAACAACGAACAATACTGCTAAAGGAAGAAAAATAAATGTTTAAATCAATTGTCTTGTTGTTTTTAAACACTTCCATAATTATTCTTCAAATCTCGTAAAAGAATAATAGCCAATATCATTCCAGCAATTTCAACAAAGAAGAAGAAGAGTGAAACTCCACCTAATGCTTTAGAATATCGAAAGAATAAACTACGAGCTCCTTGATAACAACCTTGTTCAAAATAAATGATATTATTTACTGGTTGACAATCAATTTTAAGACAACATGAATCTGGTACTTTCTTAAGTGTCGTTGTTTCTGTCCAATCTGACGAATTTTCAACACCACAACATGACCATTGTTGTTGAAGACGATTCCATTCTATAACAACTTCAGCATTTTCTGTTGCATATAGTTTCATTGAACTAAATAATTTATTTTTTAATGTACTATCAGCCTTATTACGAAGTGTAAATCCAACAATAACAGCGATGAATTGAAGTAATAAGATTACAGCTAATGAACCAATAAAAAGTTGTAATAATCCTAAACGATTTCCACATGCTCCAAGAAAACCTAATATAACAAAAGAAAATATTATATTTAATCATACGTTTTTTTTTTCAGATATGAAACGAAAGTGATTTACCAAGCACTGATAAGATAATAATAAAAACACCTAAAGCAATAATAAAACCAGCACCGGACATAATCGAACTACCCGTAATTTCGGCAACTAAAACAAATCGTTATAAAAATGAAATCATTTTTAAAATAAATGAAAACCTACATTGTAAAGCATGTCGATGAGCAACACTTCCGGTAATGAGCAGGGAAAGACCGGCAATAAAATATAACACCAAAAATAAAATAAAAAGTGACTTATTTAAACGCATCGTTTTGTTAAGTGGTTAAAAAAAAAATTTAAATCTATCTCGTATTCTGAAAATAACGTGAAATCTAAAATGAAGAAAGACAAATAGAATTTAGTAATGATGAACAACCCATCTATGTTTTCGAAAAAAAGATAAAGAAAATAATAATACTTTGATAATAGAAAGAAAACGAATGTTTGGCACTCTCTGATCAAAACGAAAGAAAGTATTAACAGAGATATATTTTCAACCAATTGTCGTCAATCGACTGGTATTAATGTTTTTCTTTTTGCTTTCATTTGTGTGCACAAAAAAAAGAACATATGATTAGAACTATACATTACAATATGGAGAGGCTTAAGCACTGTTTTTGGTTGTAGGGTGATCGAGTAACCAAACAGATAAGTTATTTTGTCTTTTTTTTCTTCTATCGATCGTGTGAATTGAAACAGATTTTTATTTGCTTCTTCTATGTTTTATCAGATTTATAGCAATGCCGAATCAATTATTGCAATCTATATTTATCGCTCATCTCAAGGTCAATGAATAATAATAACCACACGTACAAATAGCATTTTAAAAAAGTATTACGAAAATCAATACTTTTTTAGCGCAACGAGTAAAACAGTCAGCTATTGACTATTAATGAAATCAATGAATATATTCATAAATATACTAATATGATATTTAGAACAGAATAGAAAATAATTGGTATGTATGACAAAATAGTTTTGTTGTGTATTGATTATTGAATATTAATTAAGTATATAAAAACGATGTGGTTAAATCAATATTTTGATGAAAATGTTGCTTTAAATGGATGATAATTAATCACCGATTGGGATTATGAAACTATACAATATATAGTAAAATCTCGAATAAAAAGAAACGTATCTCATTGGAGCTTTTTCTTCTCGTTTCAATATAAATTATGGTTATGAAAAACTACTTTCTTTATAATTTTGTTGAAGTGAAAAACAAATATTTTAAATGATTTCTTATGAATTGAACATTAATTATAGTCTTTCAAGTCATTTAGCAAAGTCTATTTCTGAAATTCAAATTAACGCAAATAAGAATAAATGTTTGTTTTATGACATCATAAAAGACTTCTATTGATTAAAATTTACTTGAAATACTCTTTTTTTTGTCAGTAGTGTAACACTCGCCACTAACAAACATTCTTGAACCTATTCTTTCCACATTTTTATTTTACTTGATTGCGATTAAGCAAAATTCTTGCCTGAAAAAATGAACATTGGCTTTTTGACAAAAACTATGTAGACTAGATTTTGTCTAAGGAGGCAAACATGTTTCTTCAGAGAAGACTCTTATTGAGTTTTTTTGCTTGGTTCTTATGAATTACGTGTAGTTTTTATTTTAGGACAATAAGGATATTTTCTTTGCATTGTTATTTTATTTTTACGTCAAACTCTTAACACAATGCAACAAAATATATAATACAAAATTGGATGAAATTGAAAAACATAAAAAAAGAGCAGAATGACAATAATCAAAGAGAGAATATTCATAGTCATGTTATAAATCTGATATGTCCATATCGGTAGGGAAGAAAAACAAGAAACAGATAATAAAAACAATCAATTAATATTACAATTCTCGCCAATTATTGTAATTTGTCTTCTTTTTATTATTCATCAGTTGAAATTAATGATGTTTTCATCATCTGTCGATGTGTGCTGTTATGGTTGTATTGTTTTTCGACACTTTCTAAAAAAAAACAACTACAAATTCGAATCACGGATAAGTCAATATATGTAGTTTTGCTATTCAATATTTACACTTAATGGATATTGACATACAACTGATACATTATATTGAATAGAATATTTTTTTATTTACTGACTTGAACTCAATTACTGATTAATCGGCTCCATAGCGTCATTCTATTAAAATATAGAATAATGACGTTCACTACAACACATCTATAAAATTCTGATAGTTCATGAAACCACACTATAGCTTATCGCTTGTTTTTTTCGTAGATGCTATCTGATGAACTAACATGCGATGCAAAAGTCTTGGCAAAAATATCAACCTATGTTAGACCATATTGCCAGTTTCTAAAACAATCAAATTTTTTTTGTTGGAAAGAGCAAAGTCTAAACTACAAATTTTGTAAACAGCTTATTTTTTTGAAACGAATCTACTAAGCAAGAGAAGCTAAAAGTTAAACACTTCTCAAAAATTTGTTGCAGCGTTTTTTCAATTTAAAAAGTTTCTACCGTTCCATTATCTTGAACTACATGGATCGAATTCTAACAAAAAATACACCAAAATGTGGCACATTGAAAATTCTATCGATATCAGCTCTACTCGTTTTTTTTAAGATTAGCTTTTGACTCTTTAACTAACAAAAAAACTAGAAAATGGAAATTTTCGTCGAATAGAGTCTTTTGAAAGAACTATTCATTTGAAAGAAGATTAACCACAATCTTTAGAAGCTATGTGTGAATTGAAATCTTTGTATGTTATTTGCTAGAAATACATGAAATTCTAGAAAAATAACCGAAAAAAAAATTCAAAAACCCTCGTATATTGTTAAAAAACGGTCAGTTAGTGAGAAAGGCTAAATTATGCAGTGTCATTCAGAAAGAGCTTTATTCTTCTAAAGAGATCAAGACTAAATTTAACTTCGAATACACCATTGAAAAGAGCATTCTTTATGCTACAAATATCATCATTAAACGTGTGTTTTCATTTTGATTTTCATATAAAAAAATGAAAAAAAAAAACAGAAAATGATGTTGCTCGAAGGTGCAGTTGAAAGAACTTTTTTTGACGTGTTCGATACATGACTTGCCCTACTTCCTAGATTAGTTCAAAAAAAAACATGTCGGGTATAAAACTTGTAGTTCAGACTTTGCTATTTTCAACAAAAAAATTTGATTGTTTTAGAAACTAACAATATGGCCTAAAATAGGTTGATATTTTTGCCAAGACTTTTGTATCGCTTGTTAAGTAAGAAAATATCTTTTCTCATTACTATTGTTGTATTTTACATATGTCAAAAGATATTATCAAAATATGTACAAATATTAAAAAAATCTGTAAGTGCAATTCCAGCGAGATAGAAAAATTTGAAGCACAACAGAGCTTTAGCCATTGTGAAAGAGAGAATTCATTAACATGTTTTTGTTTATGAATTTCCATTTATTTTTAAAGTGTATTGATCATGACAGATGTTAAATGTGATATATTACAGTGAGTGAGAAAGAAGCGTCATGAACAGTTATCTTAAATATAGCCGTATTTCATAAGAAGGAAGTGACCACAATAAGGTATCTACCATAGTGTATGACGAAAGACAGGCATTGATTAGCTGTCCTCAAGTTCTTCGATAAAAAGAAGAGGAGGCTTTACTACAGCATGTTTTATCATCAGTGACGTACCCTTGCCAACATATCTTCCATATCTGTAGGGACAGGATACAGCGAACAGCTAAGTAACTAGATTATTTTCCTTGAGTTCTAATTTTTTCAAGAGTATGATATGCAACCAAGTTGAATAGTATCTGATGTAATATGGAATTATATACAGTACAATACAAATAGTTGTTTTTTTTATTAAAAAAGTCTTGCTCAAAAAAGAATTTGATCAAAAATATAGTAAACTTCGTTGTTTGGCTTCTACTGTCTGTTCGTTAGGAGAAGAGGAGTCAAATTTTTCATTCTAGACTTCAATACTCTGTGCAGATTGTGGTCGACAAAAAAGTTAATCATCTTATGAGACAATTTTAGAAAATAAAAAAAAAAAAATAATTGCATAAAAACTTATCAGCTCGATGAAAATAAAAAACAACGAGTACATTTGTGTAAACTCGTTTCTATTTGCACGTTATCTTATAAACTCTAATCATGTGACAGTTGTTTTGAAAGTCAAGCAAGAAAAAAATAATTTTAGAACATAATTTTGTATTTCATACAAAATTTGCTCAAAATATACTATTTGTCTATAGGTCAAAGATCATACCCTTTACCTTTGTCTCATAAATATGTTTGAAACAAACTATTGTTTAATATGTTATGTGAATAACATATCTGATTTATTCTTCGAAAATTGTGGCATATTCTGTCCTATAAACGAGCAGATAGACATGAGTCAATTAAAACTTTTCACTAGTTAGTGCAAAACTTTTTACGATTAATAAATCATATGATAAGTATAAGCCAAAATTCACAGATGAACAAAAATCCATATATTAACCTTGATTATAGATAAATGTGACAGAAAAAAATGAGACAATTTTAAATTATAATGCTTGTATGTAAGAATATGTTGAAGACAAGTAGCACAAAAAATTATATAACTTCAAAAATTATAAAGAAAAACAATGAGTAAAGCAAATATAAATAGAGAATGACAAGTGGACTTTGTTTCATCAAAATATATTTACTTATATTATTATCAACGTCAGCATTTTATCGAACGATACTTTTTTTATTACCTTTGATTCGTCAAAATTTAAATATAGAGCAAAAAAACAAAAGATTTATCATCCTATTTGATTCATTCTGTTTCTTTTTTTACTGTATAAGTTGTACAATAATTGATAATCTATTCTAATAACAATGAAAGTGATTTTGAAAAGAATAAATTGTTGATTCGATTTTATTGATACAGGTAATGATCAACAATTTCGATTTATGTGTTTAAAGAAAAGAAAAGAAATAGAAATAGCTAGATATTATTTTGAAAATAATTTTGTTGAATACATGAAGGTAAATCTGAATACTTATATTTCAATATGAAATTTGTGATTGATAATATCTCGAACTATATATTATAGATGTTCTATTAAAGAATCATTTTAGAAAGACTTGAGATGTTTACGATTATGGAAATTCTAGTCTCCACTTGGTGGTTATTTCTGCCGTTTATTATTCTAATTTATCTATATATCCCTCGATCGAATGCAACAAAAAGACAAGTTCGAAAACCTCGCCGAGGTATTGATCGAAGTTTAACATATCCTCGTCAATATCCATGTGGTTGGTATCGTATTTGTAATTCCAATGATATATCTAAACGAGGACAAGTTAAACAAGGTTTTGCATTTGGTCGAGAAATGGTTATTTTTCGATCAGATGATGAACATAGTCAAGTTTATGTCTTAGAAGCATTTTGTATACATATGGGTGCTCATTTAGCTGTTGGTGGACGAGTTATGCCCGGTACTAATTGTATACAATGTCCTTTTCATTTATGGGAATTTAATGGAAAAGATGGTCGTTGTACAAAAATTCCATATATCGATGGAAAAATACCTGATAAAGTAGAAAGAATCATTTATTTGTTGTTGACAAAATGTATTATTCATTTTCTTAGGCTAAAATGCATTCATATCCATGTGTTGAACGTCATGGAATGGTTATGATTTGGTATCATCCTTTAAATGAACCACCGCATTATGATGCTATTTGTATAGATGACTTACTTACGGATCGTTTTGATTTTCGTGGTGCTTATAGTTATCCAAATATTCATATGCATTTACAAGAATTTGCTGAAAATGCAGCTGATGTTCAACATTTTCAACCATTACATGGACAAATGTTTATTCCATGGAGCAATATTCGTATACCATTATTATTTGTTCATCATACAGCATCACTAGAATTTGCAACTCAACCTCATATTGCTTATTTTTATGATACAGCTATGTTAACAATTTTTGGTAAACAATATGAATCAACTAAAGTTGATGCATCGATAACATTCTTTGGACCTGGTGGAATAACATTATTTCGTTTTGATGGAGAATTTGGAAGAATTTATTTATTTCATACACATACACCAACAAATTATACTGAATTAGATGTTGAATTTCGAGCTTATGTTGAAAGAAAAATACCGAGATTATTAAGTTGGTATGTTATTGGAAATTGGATTGTACAATGGCAAAGAGATATTGATGTTTGGGAAAATAAAGTAGGAAAAAATGAAGTTCTTTTTTATTAGTATATTGGAAAAAAAGACCGTGGTTTTTTTTTCATGTTATTTAGATACATAAACGTGCACCATTTCTTGTAAAAAATGATGGTCCTATTTTAAAAATGCGTCGTTGGTACAGTCGATTTTATCTTTCTCAAGAAGATAAAGATAAGCTTGCTGATACATTAGATTGGTAACTTTTATTTTTATATGACATATTTAAATATTTAACTATATTTTCTTTTTGTATTCTCTTTAAAATATTAATTATTTCTTTTTATATTTCCTCATATAAAGAGACTTCGATCAAAAGTTCAGATCATCATTATTGAAGGATATTCTTCTCTTTCTGATAGAAAAATAGAGTTTAAATGATATATTATTTCTTATTCTCAATTCTTAGTGAATTTACTCAGTACGAAGTAGTTGAAAGGGTACCCTATCATCAGTATGTAACAGAAACTTCTGAGTGATTTTTAGCACTTGACTCAAATGCACTTGTGCATGTTCAATCGGTTCATTTGCTGAAAAATATTGCATACGATGCTATGGTGACAGGACAAGTACTCAAACGAGTATATAGTAAGTATCTATACTCTGAGATAATTCAGAGCAGAGTATCCGATCAAGACTCTATGACATACGGTCAGCAGGATACCATTTTAGGTAACTTGATGAAAACTATCTTAGTACATGGTTACTTTGAACTTAATACGTTTACTGGAGATATATGTTTGATTTGCTATACTGTTTATTATGATATTAAAACAAAACTAAATAAATATCACTTAAAATTTTCTCAATTATCAAAAATAAAAGTAAGAAAGTTCAAAGATCCTCAATATATCAAATATTATCGTTCTATATATCGAGTAATAAACATATAACTATACGTTTATCACTCACTATTCTTGCACGGATATTTGAATTGAAGACAAAAAAATCTATCAACGATGGACAACAAGGTTGGACTACACCTAACGAAAAAAATACACAAAAGAAGAAAATCATAACAGAAAAAGAACATTCCATTAGAGAGAATCAGATGAATAAAAGAGAATAGTCACATACAATTATGGTAGTAGTAAAACTAGAGAAGTATCTCAATGTGCTCAGTATCGGGATAGAAGGCTTTGAGTCCTTTTTACATGCATTGTCAGAAAGATTTTACCCCTGTACAGACATGCTTAGGATAATCTCTCCCGACCCCTCCTCTTCATCATCCTCGAATGATTTTCACTTGAATAATTTACATGTCTTCTGAATAGAATCCATTTCCACTAGAATTTTTTTCTAGAGTGAAAAAGCAATATGATTGAAATTTCTTTAAGTCGTTTTGACGTCTGCTTATCAAAGTAGAAATGAATGAATGAATGATTTTTCTCTTGTGAATATTTCAATTTCTGTCGTAAGAGTGATCTGAAGTAATCGATACTGTTTTCTAAAAACACGTTTCTGCTAGAAACCGAACATTTTTCTGCCTTTGAAAGATTAAGTTCAGTTTTCATCACAATGATTATCAAATGACATTTTCATTTATGTATCATAGTAACTTCAAATTTGACAATTCGTTTCACAGCAGCAATACAAACTGAACGAAATTTATTAGGGTCGAAAAACACTACAAACTTATTCTACATATTTAGAACTCAAAAACAGTCACCCATGATGCAGTACACTAATAAAAGGAAAGTTACGATGTTGCTTGTTTTTGTTGTCATTAAAATCAATAGCGAATCGCAGGAAGAAGCGATAATTCATCTATTTTCAATTTTTTTCAGGTTTTCTGAACAAAAAACAAAATTAAAAATGAACCGAATAGAGCCTCTCATGGATTTTGAAACATAGTTTTTGGTTACGATTGTCTCACTTTCTGCTTGAACATTCTATTTGCCAAAATTTTAGATCCATCACTAGTCGAAATCACTCATGGATATCATTTAAAAAAAAACAGCATTTTATTTGTTTCAACAATTCGTCTATTACTAAAAGTATCGTTAAGCAATAGTTTAATAAGTAATACTGATTTCCAGATTATTAGGTAGTGTTATTTTTCTTCTAATATTAAAATAATTATTTTCTTTTACGTTGCTTTATAAGTTGTAAGATAAAAAGACACGCTCTTAAAATATGAAATAAAAGACTAGAGGTATATATTAAAATTAGCAAAGAGTTGTGACGAAGAATAGAAAATCTTAGATTATTAATATTCTGAAGCGTAGAAGACTTTTGCCAAGGGAAAAGAAAGAAGAGAAAAAAAGAAGTAATTTTATTAATAAGAAGTCTCATTTTCAATGATAACGTTAGAAAAACAGAAGAAAACGTAAAGTAACGTCATTTTTATCGGATATCAAGTTAACAGAATATACCTATGGGTTGTTTTTATTCATCAATAAATCAAATTAACACTGAAAATGTTCTCAATTCAATTGATGTTTTATATTTAACACAATCATGGAATATTATTAAAACTCATAATCTTCAGAAATTTGCTCAAGATGTTCTTATAAAGTAAAGAACAGGAACAATAGAAATGCAGAAATAATAATATTTGATATATTTAGAACTACTAATCAAAGTCCATCACTTCGTCAATTTTGGATATCAAAAATTCAAGTTGAAGGAAATAATTATGATTATAGTCAAAGTGAATCATGTTTAAAAACTGATGTAAGCTGGCATATTGGTTTACGTAAATATAGTATTCAACTTATATCAATACTTGATAAACTTATATCAATTATTACTAATGAAAATCATGTAAAAAAAGATATTCAATCTCTTGATCTTTCAGAGAATATTTTTCTTATTGAATATGAATCGTTCATGGTAGGTTATTTTTTTCCGTTAAATTTAAAACCTTTGATTAATTCTCTTTGCATTTTCTTTTTGTTACTTGAAAGACAATGAAGAAATATATATTGGAGACCGTTCGAGAATATTTGGAAATGTTCAACTATAAGTTTACAGATGATTATGAACGAGCTTGGAATAAATTTTTATTATTTATTGAACATGCAATCAAAAAAGAAAATATAATAAGACAACCAACAGAAATTATCAGTGTATCAGATACCAACAGTCTACAACACTGACATAAAAACATTAATTTAAAAGAGAAAATCGTTCATATTTCTAAAGACAATCAATATTAAAGTTTCTTTTTTTGATACATAAACAATACTTAGAAGTTCAGTATTATGTTAGACAACTAATCTATACGAGTCTTTATTTTCATCTTCACTTGTGTTTCTTTTTTTTTATAAATTTTCGAAAAGTAAGAACACACGAATGTTAATAATGAAGAAAACTATGATTTTCAATAAAATGGATTTTAGTAATAAACGAGCAAATAAATGAAAAATATTGTAATATTTTATTTTTTAAATAAATAATTTAACAAATGTTCGTTTGTGCATGAAAACATGAAGAACTACTACGTAATACAGCCAATTTTCTTAATGACATGAACACAGGTAAAAAGTAATTACAATTTTTTTTCAGCAGTGTCACATATCCAAAATTTTGGAGATGCATCCACGTCTAGCGCGGGAGATGCGTCATTTACTGTGAGAGATGTGAGTGTGGGTGCGGGGGATGTGCATCTCTAAAGGAGATGATACATCTCCAGTGGAAAATGACCGTGTCTCCTGAAGGAGATTCCGCGTCTCCCGCGGGAGATGCGACATCTCCTGCGAGAGATGTGGGCGCATCTCCAAAATTTTGGATATGTGACACTACTCGTTAGAGTAATAGATAGTTTTCGAAATATTACTTTTCAGGATGATTGAAATCATGAACAACTGATATAACTAGCTTATTGGCAAAAACTGCTCAATTTACGGAGATGTTCATTATTGAGAGACTTTCAATTGTTTTAGTAAATGATAATTATTTAATTACAATCGTTTTTCCGTTGCATCAGGTGATCTTTTTCTTCTTTTCAATAATGTATTGGTTCAATTAATCACTTATATTTCTACAATAAAAACTTTTTTACGACACAAAACTAATCTTCTCCAAAGTAACTATGAAATGTTACTGTTGTCTAACAATACTTTTTTTCTCTAAATATGTGCGGTTAGTTTATTTCCTTCTTATTTATGTTCCATGATTGTGTGTTATGACGCAGTACACATAACATCATGCTTTTTCTCCTTTGCGTATGAGAAATAGAATTTTCATTGCTTACATTATGGAGATTGTTATTACTTATGGAACTAAAAAAGCGTTTACTGTTCATTATGAAAAGATACTTACATTATAGAAGCTCATTGCCAACAAAATTTGCTCGAGAAAACCCTAAACGACTCAGTATGATGAGATTCTCATACAGAATGATTTGACTCTATGCTCAAGCATCAATATATTTTCCATATAGAATTTTGTTTTTCTTGTTTTAATGAAGAGAATTCGTAAGTCTTAATAATTTCTTTTGACATTGGTTTTTTCTATAATATATATTTAATTAATTTCGAGCATCATTGTAAATGATTGAACAATATTCTTTTTAAAAAGTCTGAAGTCTATTATTATTACATATGATGTGCAAAGTAAAAACAGTTTATGTATTTATTGGTTTTTCTTTTAATGAAAATTCAGAAAAATCTGATATGAAATTTAGATCAACATTTTCAATTGTGTTTAAAAAGATTGAATATCTATTGTTTTATCATTTTTATTTTACATTTTGCTAATCACTGTGACGATCAAATAATAGATAGATGCTTATTAAGTAATATCTTCTTTTCGTGTGATTAAAATAATCAACAACATCAAATATTCCTTCATAATAATGTTGTACTTTACATAATCTAAGAGTTGGTTGTGCTTAAAAAAGAATAAACTCAAAGAGCACTTTTAATAAAATTATGACAATCTCTCTTGCAAAGATACTCAGGTTTTTCCTCTGATTTAAGCAGTCGAGTTTTAATATTACTATTGGTATTACTGTTCAATCCTAATGCAATGAATCATGTAATGTATTTAACGAAAATTAATTTAGTCCATTGTCTTTACGACTGAAGTAAAAAAAACACACTCGTTTCCAAACTTTGGTTTTTTTTCTTCTTCTTAATTTGTATACTAAGAATGATAAATAATTCAATTAGTATACCTAAAGATAAATAATTTATATTTAATAATGAACTTCTAATATCGATAAATTATTTCATTGTCAAATTGACTAAAAACTTTAAAGTCGTCGAATTAAATATTCGTCAAATTTTTCAGTTCGTTATACAAAGAAAATTTATTATTATGTCTAGTAATAGTATATGTTCAAGCACAATTTGTTGATGTTGATTAAGTCTTAGTTAATTAATTAAATGTATAGATCATAGGAAGAATCAAAATTTCACCTAAAACCATGAATTATCATAGAGAAAAAAGTTGTTGGTGCAATTCATGTCGGATTAAAATGCGAAACTCAATGTAGCTCTTGTTGCTAATTACAAGAAAATTGTTTCATCTATCTAATTTGGAACCGTCATTATACTTAATCCTTCAAAAATACAATAAAGAAATACGTTATGTATTACAACGAGACGTTATCAATATTAAAAACGTCTGAGACGACCCTTCTTTTAGATTGCGTTTTACAAAGCAGTTAGCATTTGAATAGAATAAATAAAGTATTTTCTTTTAAAATTTCCCTTAATAATTTATTTGATATTTTCTATAAAGGTTTTCTTGGAAATTCATATAAGTCGAGGTGTAACTTATCAATGTTGAGATATAAGAGATAATAAACAGATAGTGCTATAGCAAATAATTTTTCTATATCTTGAAGATCTTAATGCAACGAAATGATATACAGTGTTATACCTCCTATATCTTGTATTGAGTCTAACAGAACTTAGATGTGTTTGTCACGAAAATCTTAGAAAATATGTAATTTAGTAAATAACAAAAGATATGGCTTGAGTTTGTTAATGCATATTAGTTCAATCGTTGAATTAAAATAATATTTTGTTCTAATAATAAAAGCTTCCATTTTTTTCTTACATAAACTTTGTATTTACTGATACGGCTGATTATCAGTATATGAATATAATCTTTAAATCGTTGAATTCATTTTTTTGTTGATTTGTCAATAAAACTTTGAATTCTTTTAAAAAAGACAGTTGTTAATCAAAAAAAGACTTATTTAAAAAATGTTTTAGGTGCGAACATAATGATAAGCCAATTCAAACCTAATATTTTTGCGTATGTGAATTTTTTCGAGAAGGTTTAAAAATTTTTCAATAATAACGAATTGCTTCTACAACTATGGATGAACAAAATAAAAATATTAGGAATTGTTGAGTTCAATTAAAAGATATAGTCCAATAAAAATATAATAGTTGTTCTACTTAGATCATCCAATGATTGATAGCTATGGATTCACATTTTTATAGTCTCGGATCCAGACTCGGATTTGTCTTCAATGAGATCTGACATTAAAAAAAAAATAAAGCCAAGAGCAACACTAAAATCTGCAGCCGTATGGCAATGTTTTGACTGTATTTATGTATATGATATTAAAGATGAAAAAAAAATAATGAAAGCAAATGTTGTAAACTGACTATGAATTTTCTATATTCAGATCCAAAGTTTACTGTAAATATTTGTAAGTAAATTAAGGGTACATCCAGTTTAAAATCGAACAAAAGATAAAAATCAAAAATGAACTTGAATCTAAAAAATCATTAACAGATTTTGTATGTTCTTAGGAAACAAGAAAAACTAATCTAGAAAGATTAGAAAACTAAGCATTCGGTATATATTTATATCAATAAAACGAGAATTTTACATCATATCCACAGTATTACAGAATTATTTGTACTAAAAACAAAAAAAAATACGAAACTGATGAAGAATATTGTCTATAAATCTTCTGCTAGAATGTATTTGTTGTTATTACTTATTCGACGTATTCATTGATAGTAAAATAAATTTTAAAAACTAAATTACCAATTATTGACATTAATATCCTTATCATTATCTTCTTTTGATAGATAAAACTGATTAAACCAACGACGTAATTTCATAACTGGACCATCATTTTTCACGAGAAATGGTGCACGTCTGTGTACCTTGAATAGAAAAGTTTTTTTCTTCTAATAGAAAAAAATCTCATTTTTTGTTTACTTTATTTTCCCAAACAAAAAGATCTCGTTGCCATTGAGCAACCCAATTTCCCACAATATACCAACTTAAAAGTTTTGAAATTTTTTTTTCCGCAAATACACGAAAAGTAACATTTAATTTCGTATATTCACATGGTGTATTTGTATGAAATAAATATAATCGTCCAAAATTTCCATCAAAACGAAATAATGTTAAACTACCAGGTCCATGAAATATAATTGATGCACTAACTTTTGTTGATTCATATAGTTTACCAAAAATTTTTAACATAGCTGTATTATAAAACATTATTTTCCATGGTTCTTCAGCAAATGAAAATGATGGCATATGATCAACATTAACAAATGGAACAAACCATTCAGTCCATGGTACTAACATTTGTCCATGTAATGGTCCAAAATGTTGTATATCAGCAGCATTTTCAGTAAATTCTTGAAGATGCATTTTTATATTTGGATAATGATAAGTACCTCGAAATTCAAAATGTTTTTCAAATAATTCATCTATACATATAGCATCATAATGCGGTGGTTCATTTAAAGGATGATACCAAATCATAATCATATCATAACGTTCTACACTTGGATATACTTGAAGACAAGCCTAATAAAAATATCTTACATTTATTTTTAAGAAAAAAATATTCATTTCTTTTATTTTACTTTTTCAGGTATTTTTCCATCGATATATGGAATTTTTGTACAACGTCCATCTTTTCCATTAAATTCCCATAAATGAAAAGGACATTGTATACAATTTGTACCTGGCACAACGCGTCCACCAACTCCTAGATTTGCACCCAAATGAACACAATATGCTTCTACGACAGATACTTCTCTTTGTTCATCATCACCTCGAAATGCTACCATTTCTCGTCCAAGTAGATAAAAATGTTTTAAATGACCTTTTGGAATTTCATTAGATTCGCATAAATAATACCAACCAATAGCATATTGACGAGGATATGTTAAACTTCGATCAATACCTCGCCGTGGTTCTATTAGTTTCTTTTTTAATCGACGAATATATAGAAGAAGGATGAGAGTAATCGGAAGAAGACACAACCAAATGTAAGAAGGAACAAATAGATGATACATTCTTGAAAATTAATAATTTACATAACATTATTTCAAGAGTGTATTAATTACTTACTTAAAATGTTGTATAATAGTTACAACACTCATATTAGTAAAATAATTTTCTTTTCAAATAAGAGTCTTTGTTTATTGAAGTTAATATATGAAAAGAAGCCGGTTATGCACATATCCGTCAGACAAATAGATAACATCTAGGTAACTTTTGACTAAAAAAAATTAAGAAACACACCTTAAACATGTATATTTTTTAAGTAAATATTTATGGTTTATTTGGAGAAAGTTGTGTAGACTCGACTTGAAGAATAATGATATCTCAATAGATTTGTGTTTGTCTTCAACTAGGTTATAAAGAACAATTTCGTCTATTTATATAATATCTTAATAGTCAATACACTCTTTTTTATAATAATGGGTGGCCCATAAAGAACCGACCTCTTTATATTTTTAAAATTTCTTCTCTATTATCCCTGTGATTAAAAAACTTCTTTTTATCAAAACATAGCGCTTGAAATTCTCTACAAAACTGTATATGATTAGACTCAAAAACTGTTTTAGATATATTTAAGAAAAGACGAAAAATGAAGGCATACAAAAAGCTGTGAAAAGTAACGAGTTGGGCATAATGAATGGTCACGTTTTGCATCTCATGTTTTCATCACGTCGTCCTATTAAAAACAAAACATACCAAAAGATGCAGTGTGAAAAGCTCTATAATTTACATAAGATCGCCTATTTGATAGTTGCACTTTTTGCTCTCAAAATGGACAAAATTTTGAGCGAGCAAATTTCGACTTTGCGAAAATAATATTTGTTTTGGTACAAGATGAATTCGTTTTTTCTTATTTCATCTTCTTATTGCCTGATATGTTTTATTTAAAAAAAAATACACCACAAGATGCAGCGTGAAAAACTGTGCAATTTACAAAGAACAAATTATAGAAAGATGAAATAAGAAAAAAAAACCAATTTATCTTGTACCAAAAACTGTACCATTTTCGCCCTCTAGAAATTTGCTTGCTCAAAAGTTTGTCCATTTTGAAAACAAAAGCTGCAACTATAAAATAGACGGTCTTATGTAAATTGTAGAGCTTTTCACGCTGCATCTTTTGGTATATCTTCTTTTTTTAATAGAGCGAAGTAAGTGATGAAAGAATGGGATGAAAAGTGCGGCCATTCATCACACCCAACCAGTTATTTTTTACAGCTTTTTGTATGACTTCATTTTTCGTCTTGTTTCAAATATATCTAAACCAGTTTTTGAGTCTAGTCATATACGATTTTATAGAGGATTTCAAGCGCTATCTTTTGATAAAAAGACGTTTTTTAATCACAGGAATAGCAGAGGAGAAATCTTAAAAATACACAGAGGTCGGTTCTTTATGGGCCACCCGTTAGAAGAATATCACATACGATATGGATATTGTTTTCATTATTATAATTCAATTAAATTATTTAAATGGATTCCATCAATAAACTACGAACACATTGATGATTATATGAGCACATGTATCGCAGTATCTGTCACGACGATGTGATGTATGTTAGTATAATAATTTAAAAAAGATTAGACTAGAAAGGCGACTATTTTTTTTTATCAGTAAAAGGTTAATGTACTTCTTTTATGAAAAAAAAATGTTCTTGTTTTATGCTGTTGAGGTAAGTCTACTTTAATTATTTTCTACTGAAAAACCGAATTCAGATGCTGAAATCTAGGCCTTAGGAAAGAATGACAAAAAAAAATGATAGAGAAGAAACAGGCATGGCGTCATCTTCTAAGAAAGAAATTGTATTCTGGTTTTAGTCGTTTGTTTTAGTTTATTTGAGATAAAGAAGAACACTTCTTTTCTTTTCTTCTCATTTATAGAACATATTTGATCAGTTGGAAATAAAAACGAGTATCTCATGACTTACTCATTTGTCTCACACATGGCAACTGTATATTTAGTCAAGAATGAATAGTAATATCTTTTATTGATACTATATAAAAACTTTTTATAGAAATTGCATTTTATGAATTTTTGTTTGATTCTCTCAATAAGAGTTATTGTCGTGGACAAATGTCTCTT